GTCGGCCGGGAGCGGTGTGATCGCCGATGCGAAACGAGGTGGGATGGGGTGAGCATTCACTCAGCCCCCCTCCACCTACACTACGCTCCCCAGGAGGGAATGAGCAGCGGGGGCTGCAGCTGAGCACGCCTTGCCCCGGAGGAACCATCCGGTTCGCCCCGAGGGTCGGCGATAAGAGGAAAAAACACAAGATGGCGTTGTCCAGCGTGTAGTGACCTGTCACTGGGAAATGTTCCCCGACGCTTATCTTGGAATAAGACTGCTGTCATCTTCTCCTCGGGGAGGAGAACTCGCCGGACGACCGGAGGTCGACTGCCGGGCCAAGCATCCTTCACAAAGGTTGGTCATTTACACAATTTATCTTCTTTGTTCTTCTGACAGTGCTATATTAGCTCGCTGAAGAAAAAATGGGAGCCGATTTCCCGCTCTTAACGTAATTTATACGGACCGGGTGGGGCCCACACAGCAGGTGGGCGTGGACTAATTTTTTTTTTCAGTGCTTATGCTCTGCATAACGGGATAAACCCATCAGCGACAGCCTTAAAGGGCGAAGCCTATATGAAATAGAACAATGGTCTGTGTGGGTGGGTTTGCGGTACACCTCAGTTTGCAAATGTCCTATATCAGAGACTGAGACCTCACAGTCCAAGAAAGCCAACCTGCCATTTTTTACATCTTCTCGTGTGAACTTGATGTATTTATCCACAGAGTTGATGTGGTCAGTAAAATGTTGGACTTCCTGAGATTTAATTTTAACCCAGGTGTCGTCAACATACCTGAACCAATGACTTGGTGGTGTCCCTGAAAAGGATGTCAAGGCTCTCTTTTCTACCTCCTCCATGTACAGGTTGGCAACAATAGGAGAAACTGGAGACCCCATAGCACACCCATGTTTCTGCCTATAATATTGCTCCCCATATGTGAAGTAGGTTGACTGCAGGCACAGTTTCAAGAGTTGACACAGTTGTTCTGTGGAAAGCGTGGTCCTGCTGCTCAGAGTGGTGTCTGATTTTAATCTTAAACTGACCACCTCTACTGCATCATCAACAGGAAGTGATGTGACATCAAAAGAGACCATTGTTTCATCAGTCTCCATGATGACATCCCTCACCTTGTCCACAGAGTCCATGGTGTCTTTTGGATAAAAGACAAAAATAAAATTTGAAACATTTCAACAAAGAAGAATCCGTCCACAGGACGTCCTTGTTAGATTTGACTGATACTGTTTACAATCTTTTATCTACAGGATAGAATGATGATTTTTTTTTCTCTGTTAATGTTTAAAGCAGGACAGCGCGGTGGTACAGTGGCTAGTGCTGCTTTCTCACAGCAAGAATGTCGCAGGTTTGCCTCTCGGCCTTTCTGTGTAGAGTTTACATGTTCTCCATGTGCACGTGTGGATTTCCTCCGAGTTCCTTCCCAAAGACCAAAAACATGCATGTTAGGCTAAATGCTAACTCTAAATTGTCTTAAGGTGAGAGTGAGACAGAAAATGGTCATTTCTCTTTTGCCTTTATGTGTGTGTCTGTGATGGACATTCAACCTGTCCTGGTGTCTCACACCTCTCACCCCATGACTGCTGGATATGGACACCAGTGATCCCCATGACCAGAAAAGGAAGAAGCGGGTAAAGATAATAGATGGATAATAATAATAATAATAATTATTATTATTATTATTATTATTATTGTTATTATTATTACGACTGCTCTAACCACAGCCGTCCAACAGTAGTCTAGTAGTATGAGGTCATATTTGGTGTCAGAAACTTGGGGTTGTATATGTTGGTGACTTCTATAATAAAGAAGAGATTAGGAATAACAATGTGTCCACCTCATTGGTCTCCAGTTTACGTATAACCCTTATCCTGATGCATGCTCAATAATCCAGGTATTGGAAGAGGGCCGGCAATGGAGGAGGGGGCGTACCAAAGAAACCATCTTAGCACCAACAGAACTGTTTTGTTCCACTTTGGAGTAAGCTGTTGGAGGAAGAATCAGTTTTGGGTTGTGTGTTTCCTCGACTGATGAAGCCTTCTGGATGGAAGGTGAAACGTTTCAGCACAAAAAAAGAAAGTGTCCAGATGACCTGACTGAAAAATGTTGGATTGTATACCTGGATTATTGCGCATGGACATTGTTGTCCTCTGGACAGTTTTTCTGGAAACCGTCCAGAGGACCTGACTTAACTTTGTTAGAAGTATAACTCTTCATGACAGAACAGTATGAAGAGACTAGCGTTGCTCTTTTGAACACAAAAGATTAAAACTGCTAAAGTACAATTTGGTGAAGTGACAAATTGTCCTGGAGCCAATGAATGTGTCTCTGTGTGGCTGAAGATTTTGTCGTCCAGGACTTGGGTTGTTTCTGGGGTTTGGGGGCAGCACTAACCCTGCTCTGAGTTCATCTCCTCTGTTCTCTGAACGGTGCCTGAGATGTCCTCGGTCACGAGGAACCCGCTCAGGTGAGAACAGAGGAGATTCCTGTCTGAACGTTTGTTTTGAAACACAGAAATGTAAACGGTTCCCTGTCTTAAGTTTTATTTTGGAAGATTTTCAAAAGTTCTGCATCGACGTGTCTCTGATGTCTGAGCACGCTCAGTGCACGTCTCCTGCCTCTGTGGTCATCAGCAACGTCAGTACAGGAAGCCGAACCATCCTGCACATGAACAGGTGTGGACAGGTGTGTGATGTTTGTTTGTGACACTAACTGCCTCAGTTTTTAAAGCCGCAGCAGAAGCATCCCAGACGTGCTCCGCCCCTTTTCTGTTTTGTCCAAAAGCATGTTCGTTTTAGAGGAAACATTAATGTTTCCTGTCTGTCTCTGACAGTTTCATCATGGCTGACTTCGAACGCCGCACGATTGATGTCCCAATGGTGGTTTGGCAGGTCAAAGGTCAAACTCCATGTGCATGTTGTGTGGTTTGTCCATCCAGCGGATCTCGAACCATCTTTCTGTATGATACGTAAGCTAGCCGCCGTCGTTCCACAGCGGTCACTAAATACCTCTTCATTGATTAGTCGATGTCATCATGAAGGCTGTGGGAGAAACGTTCATTTTATCTCCTGATTTTACAAGTTTGTCCAATTAAAAATAAATTATCAGTGTCTAATCTTTATGATACTTATATTTTATGAATAGAGACAGAATATCATCAAAAACTCTAGAAGTGCAGTACATAAATGTTACAAGTTGATCTCCCCTTTGTAGCGGCTGAAGCTTTGCTATAGACATCAACACATTAAGATCCAGTGAAAAGTTCTTCAGGTCGTGGCTTTAGATAGTTTCTGCCATTACACTGGGAACTTTTGAAGAGGGTTGTTGGAGTTTCTCTTTAAATCAAATCAGATGAGTTTTCCTTCTTGATTTTCACTGTAACTCAAACTGAGATGAACAAATGGACTGAATCGTTAGCAAGAACCCCTCGTTTTGATCTTTGTAATGATCCAATCAAACTGTTCTTATTGACGTTTTTTTACTTCAGAACTAGATGAAGGACTCGGACAGCTGGGAGATTTCTTAAAGCGATCCTAATTAAAGTTTCACATGGTTCCAACAATCTGCGTTTCCCCCCCCCGAGAGTAAAACAGTATTTACAGTATTTATTTGTATATTTCCTCAGTAAAAGTAAAACAAGATCAAATTGTTTCACAGATAAATTGTTTTTTTACATGAACAGATATTCTGGCCCATGAGTCTTCAGTTACTTTTGCAATTTTAGACCTTAAAAATCTCAGATGAAAAGATAAACTTCAAATTATTTTAAATTTAAAAAACTCAATCTGTCACTTATGTCACGAGTTTCTCACCTTTATCCTGAACTTTGCCTCTTCTCGTTCGTAAAACGTCATCCAGATGAACCTTTTTGGTCTCCATGGTAACTAAAATGTTGAGTCCATTTTGCCTCACCTTCTCAGACTCAGGTGTAAGCTCCGCCCACCTGTGTTTACAGGCGACTAATTAAGGTAAAGAGGTATTTAGTGGACGTGACGTGTTGATGATCTCATCAGATCCTGAATCTGGTTTCGTCCTCTGCAGAGCGAAGCGTTAAAATTAAGAGCGGCGGATCTGTGTAGCGCTTCAGGAATTTAATTCTTCCTTAATTCTGTCTGAATTTTTTCACATGCTCTCATAACCTCACAATAAATTTACTAGTCTTGTTCCTGAGGGGAAAATCGTCCACATTAAAATTCATTATACACAGATTTTAATCCCATATTTATCAGCTCAGAACATAATCCATTCCTCTCAGTAATGGTTTTTTTCTATTTATCTCCAGTTTATCAGTTGATCAGTTCGACGTCACTGCAGAGTCTAAAAAAAAAACGAAACAAAAAATCATTTTAGTTTGGATGTAAAGAGCAAAAAGACTCGCTCGGAATTTGCACAAGTAAACCTTTAGTCTGAAAAAGCTGCTCCATGTGCATGCAAGTTCAAGACCAAGTTCAGGAATCTTTATTATCCCCAAGTCAGTAGACGCATAAAACATCCACATTAGACAAGACATTAAAATAAAAGTACTGAAATCATCAGTGTTCGTTGAGAAGCCTGACCGCTACAGGGATAAACGAGTCTTTCAGTGTGTTCGTTCTACATGTGGGCTGCAGATACCTGCGTCCAGAGAGAAGCCACCTGAACTCACCATGGAGTGGATGATCAGGATCTGCCAGAATCAGCCTGGCCTTGTTCACTGACCTCTCCTTGTGCAGGTCAGTGAGGTTCTGTAGGTCAGTGATGTTCTGTAGGTCAGGGAGGTTCTGTAGGTCAGTGATGTTCTGTAGGTCAGGGAGGTTCTGTAGGTCAGGGAGGTTCTGTAGGTCAGGGAGGTTCTGTGGGTCAGTGAGGTTCTGTAGGTCAGTGAGGTTCTGTGGGTCAGGGAGGTTCTGTAGGTCAGTGAGGTTCTGTAGGTCAGGGAGGTTCTGTAGGTCATTGAGGT